GGCCTCCCAAAGTGCTGGGATTACAGGCTTGAGCCACCGCGCCCAGCCGAGTTGCCTCAATTCTTATACCTTACATCAAGAACATAAAAGATCAGAATCACATGCCAACAGTTCCCACCCACAGACTGATCTAAACTTGAGGCCATTCTCTTCATTTGGTGGTCTCAAAGACTAAATTTTTTTTTTTTTAATGTAAAATCTCTCAGTGCTTTCAGAGACCAAGATGGGGGTCTGCTTGAGGACAGGAGTTCTAGATCAGCCTGGGCAACATAGTGAGACGCCATCTCTACAAAAAATTTAAAAATTAGGCTGGGTGTGGTGGTTCACACCTGTAATCCCAGCACTTTGGGAGGCCAAGGTGGGTGGATCACTTGACGTCAGGAGTTCGAGACCAGCTTGGCCAACATGGTGAAACCCTGTCTTCACTAAAACACAAAAAAATTAGCTGGGCCTGGTGGCGGGCGCCTGTAATCCCAGCTACTTGGGAGGCTGAGGGAGATCACTTGAACCCGGGAGGAGGAGGTTGCAGTAAGCAGGGATCTATGCTACTGCACTCCAGCCTGGGTGACAACTAACACAGGCAAATGCAGTAGCACAGTCATTTTGAGAAAAGGAAGCCGGGTACAGTAGCTCATGCCTGTAACCCAGCACTTTGGGAGGCCAAGGCGGTGGATCACCTGAGGTCGGGAGTTAGAGACCAGCCTGATCAACATGGAGAAATCCCATCTCTGCTAAAAATTAGCCGGACATGGTGGAGTATGCCTGTAAACTCAGCTACTTGGGAGGCTGAGGCAGGAGGATTGCTTTGAGTCCAGGAGTTCAAGGTTACAGCGAGCTATAATCATACCACTGAACTCCAGCCTGGATGACAGAGTCAGACCCTGTCTCCCTGTCTCTGGAATAAAATAAAAATAATGCAAATTCCCTGGGATATTCCCAAAACAAACCAAGGTCTCAAGGCTCTTTAAAGTAGGAACGTCCTAGGTCAGGCTTGCCTTTCCAGGAGAAAACTGAACAAGTAACCAGATGGCATTTTGAGGGAAAGGTATTAGCTAGACAGACTCAAAGATTTTAACACTATGAAGTCTCATAAGCCACACAACCCTCAAAGCAGTCTGAAGGAAAACAAAGCATCATTAGAAAATCTATGGTCCATGTAACTTATGACTGCTTTCTGGTGCCTCCATTATATAAACGCTGGTCAGGCGCAGTGGCTCACACCTGTAATCCCAGCACTTTGGGAGGCTGGGGTGGGTGGATTACCTGAGGTAAGGAGTTCAAGGCAAGCCCAACCAACATAGTAAAACCCTGTCTCTAATAAACACACACACAAAAAATAGCCAGGCGTGCTAGTGCATGCCTGTAACCCCAGCTACTTGGGAGGCTGAGACAGGAGAATCGTTTGAACCTGAGAGGAAGAGGTTGCAGTGAGCTAAGATTGCGCCATTGCACTCCAATCTGGGCTACAAGAGTGAAAACTCCATCTCAAAAAACAAAACAAAACGAAAAAAAGGTTCTTCTCCTGCAATCATAAGGCTTCTGTTTTCCTAATAATCTACGATCACTGACAAACCTTAATGTAAACATTTTAACTGGGCCAAAGGTACAAAGCTACTTTATTATACCAAAACCATATTCTTTTTTTTGAGACAAAGTCTCTGTTACCCAGGCTGGAACGCAGTGATGCAATCACAGCTCACTGCAGCCTTGACCTCCTGGGCCCAAGCAATCTTCCTCAGCCTCCCAAGTAACTGGGACTACAGGCATGTGCCATCATACCCGGCTATTTTTTTTGGTAGAGATAGGGTTTCCCTGTGTTACTCAGGCAAGTCTTGAACTCCTGGACTCAAAGGATCCTGAGGTCTCAGCTTTCCAAAATGTTGGGATTACAGGTGTGAGCTACCACAGACAATTTAGCCTAGTCCAGAATTTTACAAATTCCCTTCAAAAATTTTTTTTTTTTTTAAGGAGTTTCACTCTTGTTGCCCAGGCTGGAGGGCAATGGTGTGATCTTGGCTTACCACAACCTACACCTCCCAGGTTCAAGCAATTCTCCTGCCTCAGCCTCCCGAGTAGCTGGGATTATAGGCAGGCACCAACACACTAGGCTAATTTTGTATTTTTAGTAGAGATGGGGTTTCTCCAAGTTGGTCAGGCTAGTCTCGAACTCCCGACCTCAGGTGATCCACCCGCCTCGGCCTCTCAAAGTGGCTGGGATTACAGGTGTGAGCCACTGCACCTGCCCAGCCAATTCCTTTCAATATTATGTTCCCTAGCTTCCTCTTTCTCAACCTGGAAGAGGAAAATATTAATTCACTAAAAAGGGAAAAATACACATTATGACTCTAAACATAAAAAGGGTCTGAGTTACATAAGTGAACTGCTCTTTCAGAGGCTCTAAGCAATTTGAAAATATCTGCAGACTTTTAAATATTCAGTAACTAAAAAGCAAAAGAATATTCGGAATTCAGAATCCTGCATAAGTCTCTAAAATCTCAACTTTTTTTTTTTTTTTTGGAGACAGTGTTTTGCTCTGTCACCCAGGCTGGAGTGCAATGGGGTGATCTCAGCTTACTGCAATCTCTGCCTCTCAGGTCCAAGCGATTCTCCTGCCTCAGCCTCCTGAGTAGCTGGGATTACAGGTGCATGCCACCATGCCTAGCTAATTTTTTTGTACTTTTTTGGTAGAAACGGGGTTTCACCATGTTGGCCAGGCTGGTCTTGAACTCCTGACCTCAAGTGATCCACCTGCCTTGGCCTCCCAAATTGCTGGGATTACAGGCGTTAGCCACCATGCCCGGCCTAAAATCTCAACTTTCAAAGAGTCTGGGACTGAAAGTAAAACCATCTCTTATGCCCTTTACCCCATTCATTTTTATTTATTATTATTATTTTTTTTTTTTTTTGAGACGGAATTCCACTCGTTGCCCAGGCTCGAGTGCAATGGTACGATCTTGGCTTACCACAACCTCCGCCTCCTGGGTTCAAGCAATTCTCCTGCCTCAGCCTCCCGAGTGGCTGGGATTATAGGCGTGTGCCACCATGCCCGGCTAATTTTTTTATATTTTTAGCAGAGACGGGGTTTCTCCATGTTGGTCAGGCTGTTCTCGAACTCCCGACCTCCAGTGATCCTACCACCTCGGCCTCCCAAAGTGCTGAGATTACAGGCATGAGCCACCGTGCCCGGCCCTATTTTTATTTTTTATATTAATTAAAAAAAAAATAGAGATGGGGTCTCACTGTGTTGCACAGGCTGGTCTCAAACTCCTGGGCTCAAGTTATCCACCCACCAGGCCTCCCAATTTACTGGGATTGCAGGCATGAGCCTCCACACCAGGCCACCCTTTACCTAATTACCCGTCAAGGGAAAATAAATATTTTTTAAATTAAAATTAAGAACACTCAGTGTATATACCTTGTTGAGTTCTTCTATCCTTCTTATTAGGTATGGGTTGCTGGAGGAATTCTCAAAGTAGACATAATCTGTAATTAAAGGAAGTACAGAACTTAATATTTTCAACAGAAAGTTCAGATTTGTCAATCCAAGACTTTTTATGTTAGGCAATTCACGTTTGAAATTAAGCTCATAATTCATTCACTGGTAAAAGCAAACATAATAATGCAGCCTTAATATATTCTCTCATGTGCCTACTATTCACGGACCTTTATTTTCTTGGCATTTTCATTTCAATTAATGTTTCATCAGTTTCTCCTAGACTTCTGTCCCAATATGTCATTTCTTTAATAATAAACAAAAAAGACACCTCTTATCACTGGGTAGTCAGGGCACACTAAACATGTGTCCTCTGTACTATAACTACTTCCACATCTTTTTGCTCCAATACAATTTGCCCTGGAGGCTGCTTCTCACATAAAACTATTGACCTAAGACACATTCAGAGCATGGAGAAAGGCTTCACAGTCTAACCTACATTTCAATCGCTACTTAAAAAAAAAAAAAAAAAAAAAAATCAGATGAGCAGAACAGGTAAGAGGAAGAACACTAACAAACTTTTCCACAGCTCTACCTGGGAAGATGAGGAAAAAAGCGGGTCAGGGGGATCAATTATAAGAGGCAAAGTGCCCTGGGGGTGATATCACCATCTTTTTTACCCTTTTACCATATTTAATCCAGATCCATTTAATGTCTTGTGATTAGGAAATTGCTGCAGGCTTTCAACTAAAAAGATAACATTTTTCAAGTGTGGCTTTTCCTCTCATCTGATAGGCTCGCTGGAAACTTCCCACTGTGTGTTTATCTCAAAGGCAGCTGCATTGTTATTGTCTATCTTAGTGGCTCTTTCGCCGCTGTCTCCTGCAAAGTGGCCTCATTTAGCCAGGCCATTCCCACCACCATCCATCAGAAGCTCAGCTAATGAGCGGAGAAGGAAGAGCCAGTCTCTCATACAAACACGCCACTTATCTGAATTATTATTTTACCAGGAAAGAGGGAGGAGGGCGTCGTGAGTAGGGAGAAAGTTTGTTTGACCTTATTTCTCTCTTCCGCAGACTGGGAAGGAGGCAGGCAGCAGAGCAAACGTCCAGGCAGAGCTCAACTCCCCACCTCCGGCTGAGGTTCCCAGGTCCCACGAAGCCCCATTCGTGGGGGGCTGGACCAGAAACGAAAGGAGGGGGCCGAGGAAGGCGAGGTGCAGGGCCCCGGCCCGCAAACAGGCCTGTCCAGCTGGGCCCCTACCGCCCCCACCCCCACCCCAGGCTCCCACTGAGTGGGGAAGAAGCAGGGGAGGGGATGTCCCCTCATCCTCTCCAGCGCCTAGAAGCCACGCGAGAAGGCCACCTTCTCAGGGGGCTCGACGGGCCCCACCACCATGAGGGTTTCGTGGAGGGAGGTGTCTGGTAATTCGTACCCCCAAGTAGAGGCCTGGCCCTAAACACCTGGCGGGGTGCGAGGGTGAAGGTGGCCCCGGCCCCTCGCGAGCCCCCGTGGGGGGAGGGGAGGG